ATATGACTTAGTGACTCATCATGAGTAGCTTGCATGCCTTTATGCAACAGCCCTGGCACCAGTGATATTCTAAATGCCCACCATGTTCTGAACTGGTTTATAGCCAGATGCCATGATTATGAAGCTGGTCCCAACCCCACATCTCAAAGGTATAATGAAAGGTGACTTTACAAAGTGCCTTTTGCCAGGCTCCAGGTAGGTGCTTCAGCTCTTTTACTTCCTTTGAAGTAGAAGTTGTTCATATTTTAAGTTTGTAGAGCCATAAAATCTTACCACTTTACTTATTAAAACAATCCAGTGTACAAGAATAGAAGCTTACAAAAAGATAAAACAAATTGTGAGCCTTCATGTCACAAAAGTATTCATGCGATCACAGATGACCTCAGAAATCATCTTTTTGAAATGTCTCATGTTTCTGGATGATCAAAGCATGGACCAGAAAGATGGAGTGACTAACCCAAGGACACACACCGGCAATGGCAGAGTCAGGACTGGGAAACAAATGTCCTGATTTCTTGTGTGTTTTGGTTCTCTTAGGCAAAAATAGCACCTGTGTGTTTCCTCCACTCAGTGACCTGCCTTCTCCAATTCTGTTCAAGTTTCACGTGTCCTGGGTGTTAGTGCCTGGGGGAGACTGGCCTTTCAGAAGGAAGACCAGTGTGTCACCTTGAATTTCAATATCGGAAGCTAGAAGGTATCTACCAAGTAAGCATTTTTTCTTTTCAGTACTTAGTCATCTGACCCTCTCTGCCTGCCATCCCAGTCTTTTAGTCTCTGGAAATATAATCTGCTGTTAGTGCCCAACTAAATGACCAGTTCCTGGTGCTAGGCTCAATGGAGAATTCCTCCTTTGTTTTTTTTCACAGAAGTCATGATGTATGCTCACCCTCTGATAGTCCTGAGAAATCTGTGTCAGACGGCAAACTTTCTGTTCTGTGTCATGTGGCAAGACCACTGGTAATTCATTAACCCGTTCAGTGTGGGAGATGGGGCCAGGGCGTAAAGTTGAGTAAGACAGAGGGAAGGTCTTCACGTAAGTGGGTTAGCTTGTCCACTTGTCGTTGTGTATCACGGTGGGGGGGGGGGATGTCCTAGCTATTTACAAAGACAAACAAACATAAACCTGGAATAAATAAAGCCCTTTGTAAGAGTTTTCCCTACTCTGATAGAATACGTGCTCTATTTGTGTTTCCTAAAAATCCACTTATAATTAACACCAGTCCCGATGTAAGATTGTGAGAATTTGTTTGTATGTTTGGGGTTTGGCTGAGCGGCATCCTGGTTGGAGAGGCGTGGTCTGTAAATAAACGATGGCCCAGCAGGTAGATGATGCCGTTAAACCTGACACTTAGACGAAAGGCCAGAATGACCAGGCAATTTGTGATTAACAAATAAAGGGAGTCTAGAGTCTTACTTCTCATAGTGTGGGCCATAGGAGCTTGTTCGAAAGGTAGATTCCCAGGGGTCACCTAGAACTACTGCATTGAGGTTCATATGTGCACTAAAGGTGGTGAAACACTGGTTTAAATTTCATAACCAGCTCTTACCTTTATTATTGACAAATATCATTCATTTGCTGAAATCCTTCAGTTTTCTCTTCAGTCTTAGGTTGTTGACCAGAGACTAGCCGTGGTTTTCCATGTCTGTTGTGTCCTCCCTGTTGCTGACTGCCTGCCAGTGGCAGGTCATCCTGCCACAGGGCCTTTGCAGTGTCTCTTTTCTCTATTAGTTTCCTAGGGCTGCCCTGACAAGGAACCACAAACTGTGTGGCTTCAAACAAGAGAAATTTATTTTGTCTTCGTTCCAGAGGCCATACATCTAAAATCAAGGTGTCAGCGGGACCATCCTCCTTCCGAAGGCTCTAAGGGAGGACCCTTCCTTGCCTCTTCCAGCTTCTGAAATGCTGGGCATTCCTTGGTCGGTGGCAGCATCATGCCAGTCTCTGCCTCTGTCTTCCCATGGCCGTCTTCCCTCTGTGTGTGTCTGTGTCCACAGTTCCCCCTTCTTGTGAGGACATGGAGCCTCTGGTCATAGCATTTTCATCAACTGATCAATATATAACCTTGTTGTATGTGTTTTGTTTAAAGGCACCTTGTTTCATATCTATAATGATTGATTAGCAGTGAACTTATAGCCAACAGCACTGTATAACTCATGCCTGAGTGAAGTTTACCTAACGCGTGTATTTTCTCCGTAAGCGTTCTCGCCCTTAGGGACGCTGACAGCACTTCAGCACAATGCTTGAGGGGCATTTTAAACAGCAAAATCACTAGCAGAAAGCACAAAATTGAGGAAAATGTCACACTAAACAGACTGTGGACAGGACATGTATGTTTGTAGTAGCAGAGCTAAAACAAGGAGGTGGTGTTGCCTTGTCCCACCTCAGCTGGGGATGTGTGTGTCAGATAAGTCGAATCCTGTGCATTTCTGCAACTGAGTGCAAAAGCGTCGCCAGTATTGACTTGCAGGTTACAAGTATATTTTAGTGAGTAGGCAAATTTACAAATACAGAATCTGTCAATAATGCAGATCGACTGGATCTCCCCATGCAGCCTTCAGCTTCTTGAAATATTTCAGGTGACCCTTTTTTCCCCAAATGAGTTATTTGTGCGAAAACATGGGAGGAAATATCATGTTATGATCACGCACTGGAAGCAGGGCCACTTCCACAGGCCTCTCGTTTCCCCTGTGGCTGGGCTCGGGCACCACAGCAGCGCTGGGGAGCTGCGCACAGTGGTTCTGCATGTCGGGTTGTCAGAAGAACCGGCGTCTGTCACTCTCTACTCGTGATCCCTGTAGCTACCCCTATTTCTGCTCTTCCCTCTATTTTATTTCCTGCTCTGGGCTGACTGTGCCCATTCTATGTCTTGAGATCTTCGGAGGGAGGATGTGACTGGGCTGGCGGTCACCACCCCGGTGGGCAGACCCTCGCAGGGTCACCAGTGTGGTCTGTACAGCTTCCCCAAGACTCCCCCGTAACTCCTTATCGTCTTGCACCCAGGGCTCTTCATGGGGTATGGAACTGCCTTCTTTCCTGTGTCCGTCTAGATGGCTGGGAATGTCTTATCTTTTCCAGTTCTGGAACACCATTCTCAATACATGATCTTTGAGTGCGTGGATGAACAAATAAATGCATGGGACAGCTTGAGACCTGCTGAGAGCAACTGTGTTTGAGGCTCCTCATGGCTATTGCACGTCCCTGTGGAAATCTCCAGGGTTTCTGCTTCTGTCTCAAAGGATGGCGGCCGGAGCCTCCAAATGAGTGGGTGTGGCCAACCTCCCATGGCAGCCCGACCAGGGTGATCTTCAGAGCTGGCCTGGGCCTTGTTTGGAACGTTTCCTGTGTGGAAGGCAGGATTTGGGCTTTGTAGGATTATGAAAAGACCCATTAGAAGTGAAGTTCCTACTCTCAAAGAATGTCGGATTTGGTTAGGAAGAGAAAATGTACACAGCCGGAAAGTGTATAGGTAAGATGAGGGATAGGATTAAAGACTAAACAGCAGCCCTAAAGCAGTGTTGGATTTTCAGATGAGCAGTGTAAGATCAGTGGTGTGGTAGGGGTTGGAGGAGGAGGGATTACTTCAGGCCAGAGTGGTCTGGGAAGGCCTTGGGGAGAAGGAAGGTGGAGGCTGGGTCTTGGAAGGAGGGTGAGCACTGGCAAGGCCAGAGAGTGAGGAGGGGAGGGAAAGGTGTCAACCAAGGGCAGGTGGTGTCTGCAACATCAAGGGGGCCAGAACTGTGGGAGAAATGCAAGGAAAAGATGGTGGCTTGTGCAGGGTTCGAGTAATGACACTGAGCTGGGTGGGGACAGGGCAGAGAGAGAGAGGGAGTCCTTGGCAAGCTGGATCAGAGAGGTATTGAGACGTTGATCATCTCAGCCCAAATTCCTCTGAATAGAATTTTCAGAGCTCTTTTTTGAAGGAAATGAGTTAAGGAGAGACAGGTTAGGGTTGAAAGAGGATTATAATGTCACACTGTCCACGAAGTCCTATAGAATCGAGGCTTGAATCGGCATGGCCTTTGCTTTCAGATCCCAGATTAAATGCAAATTCAGGCATACATAGGGTGAGGATGAGTGGTAGACAGTTTGGAAGGTACTTTGTTAGTGATTCCCTGTGGGTATGTTTTGGTGGGCAAAGGAAAGGTTGTCCTAGAAAGGAGCCGGGAGGAGGACGGAGGTGTGGTGTGGGCCAGTGGAGGATGAGTGGTCAGACCATGAAATGCTTTTGAAAGGGAAAGTGAGTTAAAGGAAAAGGGGCAGCGTCAGGTCAGAGGGGAGAGTGGTGTTGGGGAAAGGTGCTTGAGGGAGGCGTGACTGCATCAGGGCAAAGGCAGAGGTGGAGCCGAGCAAGATGCTGGTGTGCCCTGGGAGTGGACACACTAAGTCAGGAGGGAACGGCTCCTTGGCTAAAGACTTTGGGAGAGGCACACTGATTCCTTTAGAGCTGTAAGTGCCAATATTGGGGGTTCACGGCATTTATATAACCCAGATACCCAACAGGAATGAATGGGTTAGCATAATTCTTTCCCACATAGCTGCTTTGCCTGCCCACCCTTGGCTCTTGGAGGGGTAGTACCCAAAGGTATTGCGACATGCTGGTCCTCCGAATGCCTGATACCCGGGTGGTTTCTGCTGTAAACACAGCCAGGGTAGGAGCGAGGGAACCCTAGCTTTAGGTAAAGTCACTAGGAGGTGTCTGGGCCCCCCAGCTACCCGGGTTTCTGCAAGGGGCCTCCTATGTCCGTAGGACTCTGCCAGTGGAGAGCCAGCTCGGAGAATGGGCAGGCCTGGGCCATCCTGTCCCCACACCCCCGAGACAGCTCTTTGGACGAGTGGGAGGGGTGAGCAGGGGCAGGGGGCTTTAGGGCTCAGCCCCTGAGGACGCTCCCCTGGCCCCTGCCCCGAGGATGGGGAAAATAGGAAAGGGTCGGAAGTCTGTGGTGTAGACACGACAGTCAGTAGCAGAAGTGCCTAACGCTGTGTTTCTCTTCCGCAACAGGGTACCATGCCGGTGGAAAGGATGCGCATGCGCCCGTGGCTGGAGGAACAGATCAACTCCAACACGATACCGGGGCTAAAGTGGCTGAACAAGGTGAGTGCGTTGGTGTGTGTGTGTGTGTGTGTGTGTGTGTGTGTGTGTGTGTGTGTGTGAGAGAGAGAGAGAGAGAGAGACGCGCGTGTGGGCCGCCAAAGAGTAAAATCGTGTTCAAGACCTTATGGTCATTCGTTGGAAAAATCAGCCAACGAAAAATGATCATATCAAAAAGTTTTACCATCTTCTTAGCCTGAAGCCTCAACCTCGGCTTGCCAGTGTCCGCTCACCTTTGGCATTTTGGTGACTCTTTATGGGAAGCTCCTTCTGTGTTTTTCTTTCATGCTTCTGACCCTCTTCCTTCTCCAGATCACTCCTTTCTTGCCTCCCTGGTTTTTTAGAATTTGAGGACATGGAAACTGCAGGGTTTTACGTTGAGCATGGAGGATGGTGGAGCGTATTGCTTTTCTTTTCAATGTTTCTTATTTAAAGAAAACTTTTGTTTTTCTCTTTTAAAAAAAGTCTTTTTACCTTTATATGCCTACCTGTCCTAAAAATGAGTTTATCATCATACCCACCCCCACCACACACGTGTGCATAAATACTCCCTTACTTTGTGAAGCTCAAAACTCTCAATTTAATTGGTCCTAGCTGTTAGGGGTGAATCAGAAAGATAATATTTGTACAGTTAAAAAAAAAACTTGTAGAAATACATAATCTAGAAACCCAACTAAATAGAATGCATCATGCCTTCTTTGAGGAGGCCGAAGGGAGAAATCTCTTGCCTCCTACCAGGAACAATTGCGTTTCTTCTGAGCAAATGTCTTTTTCCTCTTCTCCACACCCCTCCTCTTCTTTTTTTTAATCTTAAGGACACAATGAATAATTTAGCTGGTCAGGCTTTATCTTTGTGTCAGGTGTGAGAGCTGAGAGCCAGATTGCAGCTCCTGCCTGCTTCTGAGAAGTGAACAGGGGGATTGCAGCATACTGTTCTGTTTTTACTAATTTCACTCCTGGCTTTATTTTGTCTTTTCAGACATCTCTCAAATCTTATTTCTTTTTGTTCTTTTCCCCTCATCCACTTATTTTTAATCGAATGTGACTGTTTTGAATGTATCTGTTTAAGTCCTTTCTGAAACAAGGTGGGCCATGAAGTAAACAGAAATCATTTAAACTATATGCCTATTTCATGTGACTTGTCACACATTTAAGGTTTTATGGCAAATAATGTGTTTTTCTAGGCTCAGGGTATCTGTAGGGTTTTAGATTTAGATATGTAATTAGCCTCTTCCAAAGAAACAAACGGGAAATTGGGTTGTTCCTTTGCCTGTTTCATTAGCAGGGACACCTTTGGGGCAGTCAGGAAAGTAGAGTTGAAGAGACATAGGGTAATAAATAATAATAATAAGAGGAAAAGCTAACGTTTAGTAAGTGCTTACTCCATGCCAGGTACCCTTCTATGCAAGTTACATGCATTAACTCACGTCATTACAGCTATGGAGTGGGTACGGTTATTATTTTCCATTTTACAGACAAGAAAACTGAGGCACAGAGAGGTTAAGTAGGATTCTGTTTTGAAGAACAAGATAACATTACCTGTTTTGATTTAGAGTGGGAGATTAAAGCAAATGCTTTAATTCTGAAGAGAAGTAAGTTGTCTGTGTTTGCTTTTTCTTTTTTTAAATGCATACACTGATTTTGCTTGGCTTGATGCAGGGAGGAACATACAATGTCGTCATGCTGCCTGCATTGCAGATATGCTGCAGTTAGCTGTCCTCTGTAGTAGACGGAACTGTGGCCCCTAAGAAGAGATGTCCGTATCCTAACCCCCAGAACCTGGGGTGTGATTCGGAAAAAGGGTTTTTGCAGAGGTAATTAAGGATGTCAAGATGAGATCATCCTGGGTTATCTGGAAGGACCCTAAATCCAGTGAGAAGTATCTTTATAAGAGACAGAAGAGAAGACACACACACACAGGAAAAGACAGAGACTAGAGTGACACATCCACAAGCCAAGGGACTCGAGGAGCCACTAGCAGCTGGGAGAGGCAAAGAAGGATTCTCCCCTAGATCCTTTGGAAGGAGTGCAGCTCTGCTGACACCTTGATTTTGGATTTCTGACCTCCAGGCCTGAAATAGAATAAATTTCCGTTGTTGTAAGCTGCCCAGTTTATGTCATCTGTCACGACAGCCCTAGGAAACTAATGGACCCTCTAAGGGTTGCGTCCTTACTGGGACTCCCCTGGGGATGCCTTGTCTTCCATCCGCATTGTCTGTATTTTTCTGATACAGGACCAGAAGGCAAATGGATTTCTCTTTGTGCAGCTGAGCACTTGGCCCCATTCAGGTGGCCCTTACCTGCTTCACTCACCTGGCTATTGGCTTGAGAGTTCTCTTCCCGAGGCAGAGAGAGGATAAGGAGAGCCCTGTGCCATCTCGCCAGGCTTCTCTGCTAGAGCTGGGCATGAGCCAGGCTGATGAAGGAGAGCGTGCGCGTGGCTGCTGGCCCACGCCGCCTCTCAGCATGCCACTGGCACGGAGGCCATGGGCTGCACTATGGCTTGGGGGCCCTGTCAAGCAGGCGTCCCACCGGGGCCCAGCCAGAGTGGGCATATGGCCCTGTTTGTGCACATGGGCAGTGCCATCACTGTCACTGCAGGCCTCGGCTGGGGTCAGGGCCTTTTCTCTCCATACCTGCACTCCCACAGGCAGCTTTTTATAGGTTTACACTAATGTTGCCTCGTTGGCATTCATCTGTCCACATAAACACTTAGCTGAGAGCCTACTGCCATTCACAAGCATTCTGCCTGGGAAACCCTGTCTATATTTTGAGTGGTTTGAAGTCATTCCACAATCTCTTCTCCCCCGAAGACTGTTGTAACCCTTAGGAGAGACACTGTCCATGGCTTTGTGGCACACTTATGCCCCAGGTGTTTGCGTTCATGGTGAAGTGCCCCGGTCCCCACGCACAGGTGACGTGGCTGTCTTGGTCGTTGCTGGTGCTCAGTGCCAGGTGTAGTGCCTTGTGGTAGGAGGCACTCCTCCTCAGTAAGGATTGTTCTGGGAATATAGGAACGAGTGTTACGTACTTGAAGAGGAGCGCAATGTTGGTGGCTGAATTTTGTGCTGTTAAAATAATCAGACCTATGGACATGGGACTGGCAATTGTCACATGTGTCTCAAATGGAGAATCCATCTAACCCAGCACAACTTAGTAAGAAGCAAAGAGGTGGTTAATCAATGTCGTAAATTTGTTTCCATCTCCTATTGTCTTAGTCTCTTTCCTGTTGCTTATAACAGAATACCTGAAACTGGGTAATTTATAAAGGAAAGAATTTATTTCTTATAGTTATGGAGGCTGAGTAGAAGTTCAAGGTCAGGGCATCACATGGCAAGGGGGCTGAGTGTGCTAGCTCAGGTCTCTCCCTGTTTTTAGAAAGCCACCAGCTCTGCTCCCGTGACGGCCCATTAATTCATTAACCTATTAATCCATTATTCCCTGGCAGACCCCTCATGACCCAGTCACCGCTTAAAGACCACACCTCTCCGCACTGCCACGTTGGTGATTACATTTCAACATGAGTTTTGGAGGGGGCGAATATTCAGACCACAGCACCTACTTTTCATCAGTTTGGCGCAGGGTGGTGATGGAACAGGTCCTTGGATTCCTCTGAAGGAGCAGTGAGGAGGTTTGGCGAAGCAGTGTTGTGACTAGCTCATGAGTGTGGCCTTGGCTGGGGCCATTTGCTCTTTATTATGGGTATTTGCAGATGTACACAGTGTGTCTGAATAGCCTAATGACCAGAAAAAATAGGATAGCACATTCCCCCATGTCCACAACTAGATTTATTAACATTTTATTTTATCTTTGCTTGTGTGTTTGGTATGTTAAAGCAACTGCGAAACAGTGTACATTTATAAGACTTAAGGACATTTTCTTACATATCCACAGTACCATTATCAACTGGACAAAATTAGCGATAACTTTTGGATGTTATCACTGCCCTGTTCATATTCACAATGCTCGAGTATTCCCTAAATAGATTGATTTGTTTTAAAATCAGAATCCAGAGAAGGTCCACAGGTTGTGTTTGATGTTTATGACTCTAAGTCTCTCCTGACCATGAACAGTAACTCCTCTCTCTTTCTTCTTGCCACTGACTTGCTGAGGAGAGTAGGTGAGTTCTGGATTTGTGCAAGTGCTCGCTTGGGCTTCCCCAGGCCATTTCTAAGGAGGCAGCCACGGCCAGGTTCACGATTCCTCTCGTAGCTCAGTGATATTCTCGCCCTGGTTGTTGATGTTCCTGTTTCCTGTTGGAGGTCCACTGGACACAGGCACCAAGGCGCAGGCGTCATCAGGTAGCTCCAGACCTTTCCCATTTTTTCCCCTTCGAAAGCAGGCTTATGTCTGTGTAAACATCAGACTATCGCTGACCGGGGTAAGGATTCTAAACAAAAATGGCAAACTGTTAATAATTGGAAAATCTTATAAATGCTGGGCGTGTGTGGTATTTTAAAGCCACTTCCTGCAGAGACAGAAGGAGATAACAGAACTAGTTTCCACGGAAGGCCAAGGCGTGTTTGTTCTGCATTGCTCAAGATAATCTTAAGTGCTTTTCTGAACTCAAGCAGCGCTCCGTTCTTCTGCCTTCGGAAGGGCGGAATTCTGTGCATGTGGTCATGAGTGGATCCTCGTACATGGAGTCCTTCCATACACAGCGCGTACAGCCGCCGAGTGCGCAGGACTGGTCACTCAGGGATTCTGAACCACCTGGCACGTTCCGATGTCACGGGGCCTACACAGACACATGGCGACGCTGCCTCTGTCCCATAGAACACAGGGATCTGTGACCAGAATGATGTTCACTGGTCAGGATCTCTTCCAGTTTTAAAATGAATCCCACTTTCTTTTACCTTTCAGTATGGTCTTTTTTTTTTTTAAAGATATCTGTGGTACACGTATTAGTCATTTCTTTTTTCCCCTGCCGTATGAAAAACTAGTTAAAAGTTACATGTAGTTTTTAAAAAACTTACTATTTTAACCATTTGAAAGTGCACAATTCAGTGATGCGATGTGCATCGCAAAGTTGCACAACCGTCACCACCAGTCCCAGAACCTTTTCATCCCTCCCAGAGGAGACACTGTACCCAGAAAGCACTCGCTGCCCATTCTCCCCTAGGTCGTGGCGGCTGCTAATCTGCTGTCTGTCTCTGTGGATGGCCTTTTCTGGATATTTCATGGAAATGGAATCATCTGATGTTTGTCCTTTTGCGTCGGGCTTCTTTCCTGTAGCATCATGTTTTAAAGGTTCATCCATGTGGTAGCAAGTGTCAGTCAGCCATTCCTTTTTGTGGCTGGGTAGTATTCCGTGGTGTTCATACACCACATTGTGTTTATATGTTCATCAGCTATAGGACATTTGAGTTGTTTCCATCTTCTGGCTTTTGTGAGTAGTGCTGCTTTGAACATTTGCGTATAAGTTTTTGTTTGAATATTTGTTTGCAATTCATCCAGCAGTGAAATGACTGGGTCATCGGGTAGTTCTCCATCTAACTTTTTGAGGAACAGCCAAACTGTTTTCCAGAGTAGCTGCACCGTTTTCTATTCCCACCAGTAATGGGTGAGAATTCCATTTTCTCCACATCCTCACCGCCATTTTTGTTCATATATCTTTTTTTTTGGAGAAAGGTCTGTTCAGGTCCTTTGCTTATTTCAAGAGGATCATAGTACATATTGCTAAATTTGGTCATTGCTTTTGTGGTTTCATGATTTTTGCATAGTTTCTGTGAGACTGGGTTTGTGTGCGTGTACAAGTGCAAAGGTTTAAAAGATCAACTTTATCTGTATCAACTCTGTGTCTTGTGAGAGAGATTTCGGATCGTGTCACCCCAGAACTCCTCTGACCTAGAAAAAAGTACATCATCAAATTCTTAAGGGTCTGTATCTTTAAGCGTAAAGCTTTAGATTCTGAGTGTGCTCTTCAGGAAAAGTTCTTGTACTGAAACCAGTTTTCATTTTTCTTTGTTTTCATCAAAAAAATTATACAAAGTGATTTTGCTCTCTGATTTCCATCTACATTAAAAAATAAAATTTCACTGAGACCTTTTCTGATCACTGTCCTTTTGAAACTGGCTAAGCTGACACCTGCTATCTCTGTGTATGACACAGAATGAACAATGAGGAATTTATGAAAAAGTTTCTTCACTTTCAGTTCTTTATTAACTGACTTTCAAATATATGATATTAATAGAATTTCCCCTTTTATAGTTTTTGGGAAACTTTCTAGTGCTCTGAAATATTCTTAGTTCTGGCTTTGTAACTGGTTCTGTGGAGAGGTACCGAGTCACTTTTGGGACAGCTGGCACCCTTTCTATGTTTCATTATGTGAGACTCAAGTGGTGGAAACTCGCGACTGACATTTTTCCTTTCCCAGCATATAATGCAGGGGTCCCCAAACCCAGCAATTATCAGAACTACCTTGAGGGATTTTTTTAAAAATACAGTTTCCTGGGTTTTAGTCTCCATAGAATCCAAATCAACAGGTTTGTCATAGGACAGAGAATCTTCCAAACCTAAAAGCTGGGAGACAGTATGTGGGGTGATTATGTAATTGAATACAGGACCACATGACCTCGGTTTTGAACTTAGACCCTTACTACCATACGTTCCTTGGCTCAATAGTTTAATTCTGTTCCTCAGTTTCCTCAACTGTAAAATGGAAATCATAACATATATTTAGCTCACTAGGTTGTTGCAAGGAACAAAACTGAGCCCCAGCTCGATATGCATAGTCAAATGTACAGTGCCACAGGGCCCTTAATAAGCGCTCGAACTGTCACAAGAGCTGGACGAACCAGTTTCAAATAGTAGTTTTACTATGAGTGTGACTTTATTTCAAAAGCATTAGTTTCTAATCGTGTGTTTGCCAGAGTCGATTTGAGCAATTTGAGTTACCTCTTGGTCTGTAAGAGAGAGAGAGAGAGAGCGTCTGATAGAAGGGTTATATTGAGGGGCTTTTCTCCAGAAAATGAGTGTCATCCCATAATTTACACATCTTTGCACTTCTTGCTATCTGATGCAGGGCAGTAGAGCCACAGGATTAGAACGTTAGACAGCAGCCTGCTGTTCCTATTGGATACCCAAGCAGATGGAGGTATTCGGTTCCTGTGACAGTGGCCTCTGATACAACTGACTTTCGTTTAGCAGCATAAAGGGGTATTATTTTGGAAAGTTGCTTAAGTTTTAGCTGGAGTTACTATTTGCCAAATGATGGGATTAAATGATAAGAATAAGCATTAGAATTTCAGTTATCTGTAGTCCTATAAAAGAGACGTGGATAATGGAATGCATTGGTATATCCCAAATCATCACCATTGACCTTGGAATACATTCCTGCTCTGCCAGATTTGGAGAGACTCTCAGTCTCATTTGGGGTAGACTGTCAAGATTTGGGACTCAGTGAGGAAGTGGGTTTGATTTACAGTAGATTTTCCTCTAGCCAATCAACAAACTCAGTGATGCTTAGTGGGGAATCTTACTAGCTAGGCCTTAAGAACCCTCTGCAATGGTGGGCCAAAACCCATGACTGCAGTTCTTGTTTACTTGTCTTTTTTTTGTTTTTATCAGGAAAAGAAGATTTTTCAGATCCCCTGGATGCATGCGGCTAGACATGGGTGGGATGTGGAAAAAGATGCACCACTTTTCAGAAACTGGGCAATTCATACAGGTATTAAAACTCCCTGCATCATTTATAGAGGCAGGTGCTATCATTTGTTTATTTTTATTACACATACAAAATATCCTGGCTTATGGCCTCATGAAGGTAGCTCTGAAAAACCTGTGACTTATCCCTAGGCACATCCAGGACACATGGAGTACAAACTATACTACTGAGAAGTGATGTTCCACCCATCCCATAGAATCTTAGTCCTTAAATTTCTCATAAATAATGGTATTCTGATAAGTTCCCCAGGGGAATACAAACTCATTTTCTTCTAGAGCTATAAACGTGGATTGACTAAATCTCCCTAAAAATGGTAGACAGGAGTATATTTACTTATTACAAAATTCAAATGGGGAGCTATTTTCAGGACTGGACTTTTTACTTAATGTTTGAGAGTCAGGGGAAAAGAGGCACTCAAGTTCCTTCTGTTTGTTGGCTTTCCAGTCTTCCGGATTACTTACAGAATGCTCCATTGATACTATGATATTTTTCTTTCAAACTGTTTGGTCGAACCAGGGTGACCAGCTTGTCCCGGTTTGCCTTGAAGTGTTCATGTTTTAAAAATAAAATTCCTACATCCCAAGAACCTTCCCAGTTCCAGGCAAACCAGGATGGTTGGTTATTTTTGGTGTATCCTGGAATGAAAAGGTTTCTCTGTACTACCTGGCCAGCAATGCTGTATTTCCAGGAATTTTTTTACTCTGTATCTAATTTTTTTCCCTCTTTTTCTTAACCTTTGGCTCTTTTGTTAGGAAAACATCAACCAGGAGTAGATAAACCTGATCCAAAAACATGGAAGGCGAATTTTCGATGTGCCATGAACTCCTTGCCTGATATTGAAGAAGTTAAGGATAAAAGTATAAAGAAAGGAAACAATGCCTTCAGAGTATACCGGATGTTGCCCTTATCTGAGCGACCTTCTAAAAAAGGTAAAAATATTTAAAGACTAAAAAATTGGTCACTTAATACATACGTAGTGCCTTAGTGATTTCTTTATTTCTATATCTGCAGTCACTTCAAGGGTAGAACACCCTGTTCATACTGTAGGTGATAATTCTGCCCTTACCTAGCTTGCGAACGTCACTTTCGAGTCCCCAAAGGCAATAAATGATCCGTTTGGAATTTTGGTCACGTACAGATTAAAGCAACAGGTTCATTGAGAATTTCAGAAAGGATTTAATGTAGGGGAAATGTTTCTCTGTAGGTCCTTCATGAATTAATCCAAACTACATTTTTGTTGCCACAGGAAAGAAACCAAAGACAGAAAAAGAAGACAAAGTTAAGCACATCAAGGTAATCTTGGGTTGTTTGAAGAGAAAGCCAAAGTTGTGACCATAGTAATGATTCATATCCTGTTTTGTAAAAAGTAATATGACCTCTGCAGAGTGTTTAATATTTCTTCTTTTGCTGTCGTATCCTGTGTACCTTACATGGCTCTTCTTCAGATGTAGCCACTTGCAGACACAGGTACACATACCCCCTGCTTACTCCAGTTTCCCTGAGAAATTTATGAATGAAGTCGTAAGTGCACACTGAGCTTGGCCGTCTGAAGCCTCCATCTGGTCACCACGACTGTTGCCAGCCAGTCACTTAGTTCCAGCCAAGCTCCAGCAACCAGCCTATGCCTGATACTATTAAATATATTTGCAGGCTATTAAATATATTTTAATATATATTAGATATTATACACTTCTATAAAAATGTATTAACTATATTTTATTATCTGTTCCATCACGGGCCATTATGTAGGGGATAGAGTGGTCAACTCAGGCACTCTGTTAGTGTGGCTCTCAATAGCTTTTTCTGGCTCCACTCTAGAATCATCTCTTACACCTCCCGAGGGTTTTCCATAGGGATGTATATGTGCGTGTGAGCTCCTCAGTAGGTTGTGTTGTCTGAAGTCCCTGCAGTTTGACGATCTTTGTGCATAGATTAGGTAGCCCTTGTTAGATACTGAGAGGAGAGCCAGATACCCCATGCAAAACTGGGGACCAGCTTCCGTTGCAAAGCAAAGAGCAGGCCCTGCAGTCACAGGCCTGAGGTTACCACCAGAGAGATTATCTGGCTTGCCGGTCTCTGTGTGCAGATGAGGAAACCAAGGCTCGAGAGAGCTGAGTGACACACGTCCAGAGTCACCTGGTTATTTAGGACTGAACTTGAAGATACTAAGTATTTTGATTTATAATTTAGAGTAACGATTACAGAAAAAAGAACCATACTGTTTTTACAGCACAACATTTAAAAACAAGCCAGTAGGTTGAAATAGTCAGGGAAAGACAAAATAATTTACTTCAGATAGAAAGTTAGACTTGAGAATGTTGTTAGATTTTGAAGGAAAACTTAGATAAATTGTTAAAGTTTCAGAGATATTTACCTCTACAATGGAAAATAAATATTTTAGGCAGAGTATTTTAGCAGTGATACTTCCAGTTTCACTTTCGATATTTTTAGTTTCTGACTTATTTTAAAGATTGCACAGTATTAAAGGCCTAATTTTGTTTTAACTTTTTTTGGTGGAAAGAATTTATGCACATAGAAAGGAGAAATGAGTGAAATTTACCCATAGACTGTCATCCCAATTTCAATACCTTTATCCACTTCCCAACTTCTAATATGAAATTTCAGACATTCAACTATTTTTGGCTTACAAACACAATTTCTTGTGAGGCAAATTCCGAACATCATATAAATTTCTTCCATGGTAGTTTGTGTATATATTTAAAAGATAAATGTTCATTAAAAATACTGCAGTATCATTATTGTACCTGAAAAAAATTAACAGTAATTCCTTAATACCATCAACTATCCAGGCAATGTTCAGATTTCCAGTTATCTCATAAATGTTATAACTTTTGTGTAGTTTGTTTACTTTGAATTAAGATCCTTCTAAGATCCATATGTGATTTTTGGATGTGTCTTTTAAGTATTTTTTTTAATCTATAGGTTTCCTCTACATTACTTTTAAAAAATTTTATTTTTTCTTGCAATAGGAAAAACCTACTTGTTAGCCATACCAAGTTGCTCACAGTTTGCATTTTTTAAGTTTTTTTTTTTTTTTGTAAGAGAGACAGGGTCTCACTCTGCTGCCCAGGCCAGAGTGTAGAGGCACAATTATAGCTCACTGCAACCTTCAACTCTTGGGCTCAAGCGATCCGCCCACCTCAGCGTCCTGAGTAGCTGGGACTACAGATGCGCTATCATGTCAGCTAATTTTTTAATTGTTAGCAGAGATGGGGTCTCACTATGTTGCCCAGGCTGGTTTTCAACTCCTGGCCTCAAACAATCCTCCCCAAGTGCTGGGATTATAGGCATGAGCCACCACGCCCGGTTAAGGCCTACATTTTGATTAGTGTTGTTTAGACAGAAAAATATGGCTTCCTCACAGATATGTGATTTTGAAGAATTAGCTACAATCTGAAGTGTGACTGTATCATATTTACTGCTATTTTCACAGCATCTAGCTCAGTGCCTGGCACAGAACAGATAATTAACATGTATTTGATAACTGGATAGATGTAAAAGCATTTGTGGACTAAATAGATGCATAAATAAATATAATACTGGGGTGGGAGTGAGGGGTTTTACATTAGGATGAAGATTTCATTTCATAATTGCAGTTAATGGAGAAATAAGAATGGAATAACAGATGTTCAGTTTTCAACATACTTTGCTCAAATTTATCTCCCCTGTTCCATTGACTACCAGACTACCAATGATTATAAGATGCACCATTATTTTATGTATCTCTAAGAAAGAAAACCTGCTTCCAAAGAAACCCTGACACATCATTGATTATAGAGGCCCATGCCATTTCAGGGATGTGGAAGCGTGAGGAAATGTGAGTCTTAGAATGGAGGACATGCGGTGTTCCGCTAAGTAAAGGATATCTGCAGTCACATCAGCCTTGGCAGTGTCTTTGTGTGGCTGCCAACAGGAGCAAGCTGTGGAAAGCACAGCCCTGGTTGGGTTATGCCATACTTGCCCTGGGAAGTAAGTAAGGGGTTCCCCTTAGGGGCAACCACGTGGGTCAGGTTCTGTGTTAGCAAAGTGTATATTATGAAATCATTCTGCAATGAAGATATGGCTAATACCTGAAACTCCCTTCAGCAGAGGCAGGTGAGATTCATCAGACATGAGCACAGCCTAACTCTTGAATTGAAATCTTGCATTATGCCTACAAGTAGAACATGGGGGAACACAGATGAGCGAGACCCCCAAGTTCTGTGGCTCATGGCTGCTCAAGCCATTGTGTTGACTTAATGTATCTATAAAGTGTTTCAAAAGTTAACTCCCCGGGGCATCTGGAACTGAACAGTCAAAGGACTTTATCCTTACCGAGCTGTTAATACATTACTTTTTATCGTATATCTAAACACGTACACTCTGAGTTAATATGTCCTATGCAAATATGTAACTGGATAGACTTGGTAGGTTTCTTCTACCGACATTTGTCTTGTGTACAGTAACTAGGCATGAAAACTTGCCGTTGAAGTAAGCTTTTCCCGATATTCAAGTTGAGGTGGAGTTTTAATTAGCTGACAATGTTTAGAACATGCTGGCCAAGTGTCCGAAGTTTTCTGGGGTCACTCAGATGATTTATCTCCATGCTGTGTGATTCCCCCAGCAAAATGGTTTTCCTGAGACTGGAAGACCCAAGACCCCTTGGCCGTGTAGTAGTCGTAGAAACTGTGCCTCAGCATCCTTTGATATTCTTTTTGTGAGTATATCCTATGTACTCAGTGAGCCATGTTTTACATGAACTAAGTCCCATCTGTGTGGAGGTAACTGGCTATCTAAGGAAAGAAGAACAAGAAAACCAGTACTAAGCAATACTAGAGTGGACATCATCAGTCCATATATGTGTTTCAAAAACTGTCGTGGAGCAGGTTGCTCCCTGGGACCTGACAAGGCCAAGGACAGCGAGGATGGAAGTATGTACACAGAGGGATGGTAGCTGACATTTCTGAGCCCATACCAAGTTCCAAGCAGTAACTATCATCCCAATGAGTTTTCCCTGTAATGGGCAGGACATCTCCCTTTTACATACTGAGAAAATGGAGGCACAGAGAGCTTGGTTCATTTTCCCAGGGCTGTACTGCTTTCCGGAGCTGGGGTTTGAATCCAAGTCCGTCCGACCCTGGAGCCCACATTCTTTCACCTCACCTGGTGCCTCTCAGCCTTTTGGAAGCTCTGGGGCCTGAGCCAGGCCTTGGGGGTGGGAGTAGACAGAGTAAAACGGTGGCTGTTCCCCACCGCAGGAGCATCGTGAATGGGAGGCGGGGATTAGAGCTGTTGTTGGTCTTTCCTGGACGAGTCAGGAAACTGGCTTATTTAGAGCAGGAGGTTGCGTGAGGGAACAATGGGACAGAAAGACATGTAGGTAGGGTGGATATAAATGATACTTCCTGCTTCAGGGGGTTGTTGCAGATGAAATATACATGCTTTGGAACTATGAAGTGTTTCCAGATCAAAGCGTTAGTGTTATGGTGGAAAATATAATGAGAAGAGCCTCTAAAGTCACTCGGGAAAGAGCAGGCCTGGTCTGTATCAGTCTGAACGCAGACCTATGGGTCGAAGTTACAGAAAGGCAGATGTTGGTTCAGCAGAGCTTCCTAACAGAGCTGTTGGATCTGGCCGTGGCAGGAGCTGGTGCACTCCCCGGTGGGGCTGTTACTGGAGTGATCCCTTCATTGGCTGGAAGATGTCTTCAGTTTTTAAACTTTAATCAGATGAAAACATGTGCCAGCAGCTCACTTGGAAAGCGGATAGAATGAGAGCTGCCCGGGATGGAGCAGGTTATCGGGCTCATCCTCCCTGTTCTGGTTCCTGTTCTGGCTCATGAGGGAGCTCAGAGCACAGTTTGGAAACTGGTGGGCTACGTGACCTCTGCGGATGGTTTTATGAAATCAGGCGCCCTTGAACTCCTGGGAGCAGACTTGGAGCAGGGTGGAGCTGATGTCTAGGGGAGGTCTTTCTCGCGATGGTGGAAGGGATTGGGGGAGGAGAGACTGCAGTAGAAGATGGTTGATGGTGGACGCTGCAGAGGAGAGAGGAGACATTTCTCCAGAGAGTGGAGGAGGAGATAGAGCGTGAAGATAGTGGATTGAAGAGGAGGCCCCTTCAGAGAGGGCACGTTGGGAATGGAGCTCATTTTGTGCAGAAGAGTGAGTTTCACTTTGAGCTTGTTGAGTCTGAAATGCCAGAGAGCCCTGTAAAGCAGATCTTGGATAGAAAGTCGGATCTGCCAGGCGTAGAGCTCAGGTAAGTGCTCCCAGGGCAAATGGGTGATCATTTACTCAAGAATGGTATTGGAGCCTTCAAAAACAGGTGCCTTCTCCAAGAGGGAAGCTGTATGAGACGGAGACACAGACCTGAGGAGGAGATGGAGAGAAGAGGGAGCCAAGGAGACAAAGGGAAGTTGCAGTGAGAGAGGGAGGAGGAGAACGAGGAGGCCCTAGTCCCAGGAAGGAGGGGTAGGAAGGTGTTTCTAGCCCTGGGCAGGAGGCTCCAGCCTGTCTAACCGGAGCCGCTGTTCTTAGTGGCACTGTGGTCTTCATGGTGAGGTGTGTGTGTCCTCCGAGGTCTGATTTCCTGGTCTACTTTATGAAGTCGAGCCTTCAGCCTGGAGGTTTTGTCAGCAGACAGTACTAGAGATGCCCTTAAATTTGATGCCCTTAGATTTGGCTTCAAGGAGACTGGCTTTGCACTGATGCATTAGGGCATTTTGAGGGTTAGAGGTGAGTTGGGGGTCCGTTATATTGGGTCTCAGGGGAGGAGAGCTCTAGACCACGGGCTTTGGTGTAGGGATGAGGCAGCATGGGCTGGAGCAGCGGGATGAAGATCACTGGTGGCAGAGTCCCTCTGCTGTCCCCTAACTCTGTCCACCCCAAGCCTACCCCACAAGCACAGCTTTGAGACCAACCAAAGGTGTGTTACCTTGCAGGTCTGAAGAAGGCCACCCTTGCCCTCATACTGTCTCTCATGCTGGATTGCTTTTGCTTAAAATCCCTTCAACTGTAAACCAAATGTTGGGTTCTGTAATTATAGAAAAGGTGCTTGAGTGTAAATATTTGGCAGAGTTCATTTACCGTGGAGGACTCTGGACCCAAGCACAGTCTTTTCTTGGATTATCTTTGGAATGAGGCAAGAGGATTAGAGCCAAGAAAGCTACGGGCTACTTGACTTACTGGAGAGTCACTACCTGAAGTGAGAAGGGAAACAGAAAAAGGCTGGTTCAGGATTAACCAGGCCAGGTTATGGTGCAGCCAGGTGGCGGGTGGTTGAGCCAGGGCAGGAGTGGGGCAGAGGGGACCGGGAGAGGCCGCGGGCAAAGGCCGTTCTTGGCCTGCAGGATCTCTGTGCACATGTTACGTAGAAAGCTGTGCACCCCTTTTCTTAATTTTGGATCCTTGGATGTTTAATATAGTTTAGGTTTAGATTTCTCCACTTCTGATTGTTTCAAGGATTGCGACTGAGTTTAGTGAAGATCCTTCTCTCCGGGCCTACTGTTCTGCACCCTGGATGGAGACGTTTCAGGGAGGCGTTGGCTACGTTTGTACCATTGGCGGTACCATCCTTCCAGAGCGGTAGGACCAGTGAGAGAGTTTGCACTGAAGACTTTGAAGTGACAGGTGTTTTTGAAGTGGGGGTGAGAGAAGTAACCAGTGTTTAGAACAGCCTGTCTCAGCCACCATTAGTGCAGGACACAGGGATTATTAAGACAGAAAGCCCCTGGACTTGAACCATGTTGCATGACCACAGACTGAGTTCAGTTCCTGTGTCCCCTCGGGCTAAAAGCAGTGCAATCTTGGAAAATTAATTTAGTCTCTGAGTCATAGTTTTCTCAAGTGTAAAGTGATAAAAATGTTACTTGCCACTAATTAAACTGTAAATCATGTGAAACACATGGAGGTCTTCAATTGAGAAATCAGAATTAATTTCGGTTTTTAAGTGTATGTGAGTCTGACTGCCTCGCTACTTTTATAAGAAACCTAGAAGCAGAATGGGTAAAAAATACCATAAGACAGCAGAAGAAACCCATACAGACGAGCAGATCTTTCCATCATTCCTTCAGATACCTGTGCTTTGTTCCTTTTGAGGGAATTGAGGAAATGGCAGTAGAATAATGAACCGTGGGGCATCTCTGGGGAGGGGGGACCAAAAAGGGGACTGAAGCAGTCATCAAGAAAGGGAGTTGCCATTGGAGAGGTGGCAGATGAAACAGTATCCCACAATTCAGGTTGTCAAGAAGGGAGGGTACGGCCCTCCCCGTCGGTGTCAGAGTGTCGCGTCGAGGGGAAGGGACTTGAGAATAGGTCACTGGATTGGGAGAGCAAAGTTTTATTGGTGACCTTTGACAACAGTGAGCACTTGTTTAATAAGAAGTGCCATGTACATACTTATCTCTCTTAATCTTCCCATTATCCCCATGACATGGGTCCTCTTATTGTCGTCAGTTTATAACTGTCCCCCGTGCCCTAAGAGAGGCATAAAGAGGTTAAATAAGGTCCTGCAACTAGTGAGAAGCGGGGGCACCAGGCTTCGCCCCCAGGCCTGTGTGGTCCCAAATCCGGGGTCTGCGGCCCTGCTGGGAACTGTTCCCCGCGTGCAGGAAGGCAGGCCGCGGTGCGGGCCACGGGCAGGGGAGCGGGCGAAGTTAGGAGGAGCAGACGCTGGTCCAGAAGTTTGGCTGCCAAGGGAGGGAAAAACTGGTGACTCAGGTCACAGGCAAGTGAGTTTTTTTCCCAGAAAGGGCAGGCTTTTTTATTTGGAACTTGTAAAACAGAGAAAAATGCAAGATGCCGGGAGAGCAAGGAGTAAAAGCTCTGCCCGGTAGGGCTGCTCTGGGCCCTTCCTTATGTTTGGCCTTTGGTATGTCTGGTAAACCACGCAGTGTGTTGTTTCTTAGACAACTGAGCTGTCCGGTGAGGTGATGCCTTTGAGGTTGTGGTTTTTATGGTGGGAGTTTGCCAAGTGGGATCTGGAAGGGAGGTTATTTTCCTCCTTCCCTTTGACTTCTCCAGGATTTTGGGGGGACTCATCATTGATTCCAGGTAGTGCCTGAATGAATTGGTAAGAACCCCCACCATGCCTTAGAGCTGTCCCCCATCCTGACTCTTCAAAGCACCGTCACATCCACCTCACATGGTCTTCTGCTCCCAGCGCTGTGTTCCTCTTACCCTCCACCCTCCTTTCCATCGTGGATTCCTTAGGAGTCGTCCTGTGCAGCTTTTGTCTGATGTGATTGCTGTCCCAGAAGCAGGGGCAAGCTTACCTGGAGGGAAAGCTCCCTCATCAAAATGCTGACAGTCATTATGTCCCTCAGGACTGGCTTCCCCAGAGTTGGCCGGTCCTCTCGGAGTGGAGGGCTCTTGTGCACTTGAATAAAGCAGAATTTAGAGCTTGAATGCGAAAAAGAGATTTGTCCTCATTATTTCATCAGTATGAACCTGCAGCCTCTTGGGCTGGGTGGGATATGCAGGCACCCGAAGGGCATCTGCGTGAAGCCGTGGGTGTGGGGGTGCCCGACTCGACTCAGGCCAGGGAGGGGAAGCTGCCGCCGTGAGCGTGGCCCACGTGATCAGGCAGCCACCCAGCGCAGGACGCCGGAGAGCCCCAGAGTCCACGGCGAACTGTACCTGAGGAGAATTCACCTACAGCCTCCTCGGGGTTCCTGTTCTTAGGCCAGTCACTGAGGCAGAGCTTTTCCTAAGAAGCAATTGTGGAAGAGGTGGCAGGAGCCCCCCTTAGCCAGCGAGCCAGGTGTTGATTCTTTGCGACACTCCCGCAGGGAAGGCGGCCTCGGAACCCATGCACCATGCAGCACGGTATCGCACAGAGACAGTCACGCAGCTGCGGTCTGCAGGTGGAGGCGTTTCCTACAGGCGAGGCAGACGCACGGTGCCATTTCCTGGAAGGAGGCTGGAAGAAACCGAGTACCCAGCAGCACACGCTGTGCAGAACTGTGCTGCTTTAACACCAGGCCGATTTAAAGAAGTGGGCAGTGTACTCGGCAGCTGAACACAAATGACCCTAGTAGTAAAGAAAGTAGACAGAGGGTAGAATTTCAGCTAAGTAAAGGGAGGGGAAAGGAAGTGTTCTCAATTCTTTTTTCTTTTCTTCTTCCTAGCAAGAACCAGTTGAGTCATCTCTGGGGCTTAGTAATGGAGTAAGTGATCTTTCTCCCGAGTATGCGGTCCTGACTTCAGCTATAAAAAATGAAGTGGACAGTACGGTGAACATCATAGGTAAACTTTTGACATCTCGTTTTTCATACACACGAGCAGCCCTCTGGGGTCTAAAATTTGTAAAACAGTGATCTTCAAATAACTGAGTCAGTGGGAGGAGGCCTTGGAACCATCTCAAAATGCAAGTCCCAGCCCCTAGATTGCAGGGCTGAAAAATAAAGGGCTTAGCGGATCAGAAAAAGGAACTTCGATGGGTCAGCCAGGGGTGGGGAACCTGCGGCCTTGGGACCACACGTGGCTTCTGGATCCTTGAGTGCGGCCTTTTGACTCAGTCCAAATTTTATCCAACAAATTATTTTAATAAAGGATGTTTGTTTCCCAGTGGCTAATGGTTAGTGTTTCCGGTCTTTTACTATTTGGTCACATGGACAAAAGTGTTCTTTATTAAACTTGGGAGCCAAGGAGAGGGAAGATTGTCCTCTCACGTCCTCTCATCGGCTTCTCCCTGGCAGCCTTGCCACAGAGGGGGTGCTTGTTTTACAGACAGAGAAACTGAGGCACAGAGACATATTGCCCAAGGACACACTCTGATTTAGCAGGTATTTTTGAGCACCTTCCAAATACAAGACTCAGTGCTGTAAGCAGGAAATAGATGGGGAGGCCCAATTCCTGTTTTCTTGGAAGGACACACAGAGCAAACAAAGAAGCCCCCAGTAACTCCAGCATTACCGTTTGTGGTCCATGTTGCCAAGAAAAGGAGAGGAGAGATGACAGAGAATAACCAAAGAACCAAATTCAGACTGGGGGGTCTTGGAGGTGTGACATCTCCCCTCCTCCTAATAGCCGAATATCCTTCCAGACTGAGCTAGCTGTGCCCGCCCAAGAGGAGTGCGCTGTCGCCGTGCTGAAGATGTGTCTTCTAATGTCCTGTCGCTTCCGTATGGTCAGACACACAGGCTTAGTGCCCAAAAGACCTATCCCTGCTTTCCTTTTAAGGAGAGGGAGGGAAAAAAACTCCTTATTTTTTTTTTTTTTTTTAAGACAGAGTCTCACTGTGTTGCCTGGGCTAGAGTGCTGTGGCGTCATCCTAGCTCACAGCAACCTCAAACTCCTGGGCTCAAGTGATCCTCCTGCCTCAGCCTCCCGAGTAGCTGGGACCACAGGCATGCGCCATCATGCCCAGCTAGTTTTTTCTATATATTTTTAGTTGTCCAATTAATTTCTTTCTATTTTTAGTAGAGACGGGGTCTTGCTCTTGCTCAGGCTGGTTTCGAACTCCTGAGCTCAAACAATCCGCCCGCCTCGGCCTCCCAGAGAGCTAGGATTACAGGCGTGAGCCACCCCACCCAGCCAAAACTCCTTATTTTTGTTTTTACTTTTCTTTAGCATTGAATTTTTGTTGTGTGTGGTGACTTCTGATTTAGGAAACGGAAGAAGCCAGCTGCATGTTGAATTGTCCTGACAACACGCTGCTGGCCCTTGCCCGGGTTTGCAGGGGTTTTGCCGAGCCGCACTGAAACCATCTCCGGGCTAGTGGAAAGCGTTTGCAGGTGTGCACGTTCTGTCCGACGTGCCTAGGCAGTACTTTATAGCCATTGGGATTCTCGATAAAAGGCAACCCCACCCTTCCATAAAGCAACGATCGCTGTGAAACAAGGGAGACTATTCATCACTCTGCAGTAAATAAAGCAACCCGTGGTGAAGAGACAGCGATTAGGAATTCGTGTATGTGGGATTTTGTCTTAATTTTGGCTGCCCAAATTGCACACTCTGACTGGACATTCTTTTTCTGATAATTGCTTCCAAATTTGACTGACTTTATCTAAAGTGAAGCTGAAGTAGCTTTTTAAGCCAAGCCTAGAAATTCGAGTAGCAACAGCGGGTTCTGAAGGCTCAGGAGAGCAGATTCACAACACAGAGACAGACTGCAGGTCCCCGTGCGGACCTTGTGGCTTTAACTCAAGGTTGGCACCAGAATCCACACTGGTTTCAGGATGGCAAAGGTGACGCAGGGCTGTGGGGCTGTGTCTTCACCGTTTCCCATCTCCTCTGTTCCCTGTTCTCGTTGCCATTTTTCCTAGTGATTAAGATAAGAGATTTCACCTGTAAGATACGAAGTAGCTCCGGGTGGGTCCTTAGCTGGGGGGAACCCTTCTTAAGAGGTTTTCCGTGCTCATCAGCTGTGCCCCGTGCCTACTCCTGGGAAGGCTGAGGCCTGAGCCGTTCACCCCTAGGAGTAGGGGTCAGAGACAAGACACCCGATTTTATCAGGACCCCTAGAAAACTCTCTGTGACGTGAGCCTCCATGTGAGGTGGGAACTGGACGTCACAGTGTACCCAGACGCAGGACCCATGACGTACTTTATTTTTCTTGTGCAGTCCGGACCTGGTCACCCAGGTGAGACTGTGGGCCGGCTCCTCGGTCACAGATGCCAGAGGGGAGACCCGGGCAGTGGAGTTTGGCTGTTGGTTGTTCAACCCTAAGAAATGTTTAGTTACTCAAGAAAGCTGTCATCTTTTGTGAGGCTGTGTATTTTCTCCTCCCTGCTCCCTTGCTGCCCCCACCCCGCTGATAATTAACTCTCAGACCCTCCTGTCTCCTCACCGTATTTCTTAAGTCCGTCCCCTTCTACTCCTGACACTGTGTCTGGTCCGCCCTCTGCTCTCACCTGGGCTTTGCTTCCGTCCTGCCCTCCCCATTCATCCTTTACACAGAGTGATTTTTTTAAAATGCCAGTGTCACCACTGCCCCCAAGACTAAGACCCCAGTGCCTTCATGTCCCTGGGGCCTGGCATGACCTGGGCCCTGCTCACCGCTTTTATACCTGCTTTGGAATTTGAGGGATTCTGAACCATGTCACCTCCCTGTGGCTGTTGGTAGAGAAAATGAGATTGGTGGTGGGTTTTGTGTGGAGCAGCCGCTAAGGCTCTGTGCCCACAGCGCAGGACAGCATGGCCGTGGGACAGTTTCAGTGGTGAGTGTGAGCTGCCACGCCGACACTCTCGCTCAGACTCCTGCTCCCGGGTCATTGGCTCTTAAGACGTTGGTTGACTCTCTACTGAGTTTTCTCTGGGACACATCCTTTGCTCGCCTTTGTGTAGTGCATATGATGCTGTTTTCTCCTGGGAGGAAGAGTTTCTATGGCCCCAGCTACACTCTTGCTTCCTCCTGCCCCTCTGTGCCCTGGTGAGCGGGGTAGAGCCTGCGTTGGGGGCAGTCTGGCCTATGCAGGGACAGAAGTCCTGTCTCTGGAGGTGCCTGTCTTCTTCCACCATTGACCTTGAGCACCTAGGGCAAACCATGGCTGTGTTTTACAAAGAAGGAACACAAGATTAGAAGTTAAAAGACTTGGGTTCCATACCTAATTCTAAAGTTTTTTATTTACCAAGTGATTTGGGGCAAACTCCCTAATCTCTCTGAGATTCAGTTTGCATAGAAATTGGAAATAACATGTATATTATAATTTATAAAATGGACATATATAAAATGGTATGTAAAATGGAAATAATAATACTGATCTGCCCATCTTACAGTTGTGAGAATCAAAGATGTACAGACAAATCCCTCTGTGGCTGGAAGGTGGTAAAATGATACATTATGGTTATGATATTACCAACATCGTATTAAAATATATTTGAGTGAAAAACATAGCCTCCAGCTGTGCTGTGTCATCAGGGCTGGGATTAACAGTTTTACTCAAACTTTCAGATAGAGTCAGGGGAAATTTCCCTTTATGACCTATGCTGATGGTCTCATTTTACGTGCCCTGCTAATACGTTTCATTCTGGACCCTGCAGCTTCTGGGTGACCCTGGCAATTTGACAGCTGGGTTTTAGCTTTTCTCAACTGTAAAATGGTGGGACCAAGGCACCTCCAAGGGCCTTTCTGTTTCCAATAGTCTCTGCTTTGCAGCACTTTCCCCAGGCGTAGGAGCGAGCTGCTTCCTCAGGTGGAGCCCCACGTTAAGTCAACAATTGTTAATAAAGTAAGAGTGACCTTTTAAGGAATCAAACTGGTTCATCAGTAACCGGCCATGAATAATATTATTATAATTCTCAGCAGCGAGGTTCAGATAAAATTACATTCCTGTGGGTGACTCTTTTCAGATGTGCTGACTTTAATAAGCTGGAGGAGCTTAGTGGATTTCTCGTTCTTCTGACCATTTGAGACTTTCCTTGGCACCCAACAGAGAACTGTTGAAAAGAAATGTCACTATTGGTTATGAGCCCAAAGACTCACTAAGGTGAGATTCAAAAGTTTTTCTCCTAAGAGGGGCTTAGAAAGCGAATAGGAGCTCAGTTTGGACTTCGTTAACTCTTCTATTAATATTAGGGAGACCATATTACAAAGAGTTGAAATTTGGGGTCAGGTAGGGCTGATCTGGAATGCTGATTCTGCCACTTACTGGCTGGCTGTCTGACCTTGAGTTCGTTATTTAGTTTTTGCTGATGCTGTTGTTTCATCAGATCTGAAACGGGATCGTGATTGTGCCTTCCCCACAGTGTTGAGGTCTGTCAAGGGGCTGGGGGAGGCATAGGTCAGTGCTCAGGAGGTTACTTTTGTCATCACGGTTCAGCAATCAGGACACCCTTCAGCACCCAGAGGAGTGCCACCCCGACCCTGTGTGCTGTAGCAGGTGAGTGTGTTATTCATGTGTCTTTGCAGGTGTCAGGAGTCATTCTTGCTGCTACTTGGTGGTTCGGGGATACCTGTTCACGGGGGGAGAGGGAGAGAGAAACAGAGAGAGAGAGAGGGAGAGATTGAGGCTGATCAGTGACAGTGTCTAAGCACATCCAGAGAGCATCTCAGATGCTGGGATTTCCCTGCTTCTCTCATGGGCTTTGACTGGTGAGTTGGAAAGTTTCTAAAGTGCCCTGAATGAGGTTTGGAGGCAGAGAAGTGGCCGTCCCTTACCGAGGCATAATGCAACACGCTCCTCTGCGGGAACTTTGGCCTTACAGATAATGTGATTATATTAACCGATATTCAGATTGTAGCCCAGAAAACAAAAACTGATTTTTTTCTGTCCTCGTCACCAGCATTCAGGGTACACTTAAAATTTGAGTAAAGGTGCTTATTTATTCTTTTTAGGTCATGTATATTAAGTGAAATATGGTAAAATAAATCCCTTTTAGGCGTATAGTTCTATAAATTTTGACAGATGCTCTCAGGTATGTAACCATTACCGTATTCAAGACAGAACATTTTCATCTCCCCAAAAGTTTCTTCCCCAGTCCCCGGCCCCCAACACCCACAACCTGCCATATCTTTAGCACATCACCTAGCTTTGAAAGAGTCCACTTGCCGGAGGCTTGACGTTTTCTAGAACACATTAATTGTCATGCTCCGTATTTGCAAGCTGTCACAAACTCCTGCAGGACGCTGGCTTGTCAGTGAGCCCGGGCCCCTTCCTGCATCCATCTATTCAGCGGACATGTGCCGAGCGCCTCTCCGGTGCAAGCTGTGAGCGTGTGTCATGCCTGGCCCTGAACGGTTCTCGTGCAGGTTCTCAGCACTCAGGACCCATGCTTTGATTGAGGAGATAGGACATACACAGATAGAAAGTTCAGTAAGGATCTGTGGAGTTAACCAGCCACACGAGGCAGAAAGTCAAGAAACGTCACAAGGTCGTGTCACATTGTAGTTGTGGCAGAGCAGTGGGGACAGTGCGTGAGAGGCGCTCAGAGGAGAGCAGTTGGTCTGTGCTGGGGTGGTTGGGAAGGGGTTCCAGAAAACAGGAGCACCCCGAATACTGCTTGTCACCCACGCCTCAACCCCGTGTCACTCTCTCTTTGAAGCCTTCGCTTCCTCCAACTGGAAAAATACTCCACTTCCTCAGCTTTCATCCCATGGTCCCCTTTGTGTTTTGTTTTTCCTTTTCCCTTATTCACTGCTTCCAGCTGACTGTCCTGATTGCTGGGTGCTGGCTGCAGCCACGCAGACTAACTTCTTACAGAGCGGGTCCTTCACCGCACTGACCTTCCTCTGCTTCTACCACTCGGTAGTGCCGTCTGGGGCAAAGCAGGTGCTCTGCCCATCTTTGCTAGCGGAGTAACTGAGTTGGGCATCTGGGAAAAAGCAGAGAGGGAAGGAATTCCTGGTCAGAACAAAGGGATGTAAGGAGGAGGATACTTGAGCCGCTGCCATTGTGTATGGTCTGAGCTTGCTGCCTCTCTGCTGGGAAGAACAGTGCAAGAAGGATACGAGTTTTGAAGTATTGGAAATGAAAGTGGCTTTGATTGAAATCAGATTTATATAAGACCTTTACTGCCTTGGTATGCAAGGTATCGTGCGTGCCCCTCCCTCCTCAAACACACACACCCTCATTTGGTTTCGATTTCCACCCACCAACTGCTCTTTAGGACTTGGGATAAGAGAGGACATCGTCGCATTTTCCTGCCATTTCATTTTACTTGGGGGCAGAGGCAGAAGAAACTTTAGAGAGGTTATTGCTGGTCAATGTCAGAGTCTGTGTGTAGTGAACTGCATAATTGATGCCCTCACGCTCAAATAGGATAGTCCCGAGGACGAAATAAGGATTTGGGAGTCTGCCTGCCATATATAGCCTGCCTTCCTTTTCTTTAATTTTATCCCTGCCAGGAAAACCTAAATGGCATCCAATTTCCCTCCCATTCTCTATGCGGTGGCTTTTGAATTCTTTTATCATGTCCCCACATCTCCTTCCTGGCCTCTTTTGTGCCCCTCCTTTCTTTATTAAATAATGCATGAATTCCCCCATCCTCTAAAACCTTCCCTGCGTAGAAATAGGATAATTTTCTCACCACCCCACAAAAAGCAATTGAAACAGGAACTTATTTATAAACAAAGATACTTCAGCAAAGAAAATACTTTGAGTGATTAAAATAAGGCACAAGTGAGTCCATGATGGCTGACTCCTCAAGGAGACTGGAGCGGGCCCCCTTCCTGCCTAACCTGAGCATTTTGCAGGTAGTGAGAAAATGACAGGAATAATGGACCACTGCACATAGTCCAAGTGGTGTGAGTTTGGACAAGTCCCTCTCCCTCTCTGTGCCTGAGTTTCTTCATCTGTAACAGGATAACAATGCTTTTCTGTCATTCTCATGGGTTGAAATGTTAAAATAACTTATGCAGGTGCGAGTAAAACATAGATTTTGGTGGCAAAGCACTTTGAGGACCTTGGGAAAACATCGTTATTACCATGCTATTTTCTTCCCCTTTATTTATTGGAGCCAATTTTCAGGGACATGTCATCCAATCAGCTGCCAACAGCTGTTTAAGGTCAGTTCTGTTTAAAATTAGGGCAGGGCATCACGGACATTCAAATTAAAACCACAATGAAATGTCATTACTTACCTATCGGAATGGCTAAAATAAAGAACAGTGACAACACCAAATGCTGGTGAAGATGTGGAGAAATTAAGATCACTCAGACATTGCTGGTGAGAATGTAAAATGATACAGTGACTCTGAGAGACAGTTTGGCAGTTTCTTGTAAAACTAAACATGAAATTACCATATAACTCAGCAGTTGCACTCTTGGGAATTTATCCCAGAGAAATAGAAACTTAGATTTGCATAAAATCTGAACACAAACATTCATAGCAGTCTTATTTACTAATGTAATAGCCAAAGACTAGTATCAGCCCAGACCTCCTCCAATGGGTGAATCGGTACACAGACCGTGGTACATTTATACCATGGAATACTACTCAGCAATTAAAAAAAAGGAACCAATTATTGATACACACAATAACTTGGGGACTCTCCGGAGAATTATGCTGAGGGAAAAAAGCCAATCCCAAAAGGTTACTGTATGAGTCCATTTATGTAACATCCTTGAAATGACAAACATGATAGAAATGGGAACCGGATTAGTGGTTGCCAGGGTGCAGGGACAAGGAGGTGGAGGGGGAGGAATTGAAGGAAGGTGTTTATGGTTACAAAAGAGTGGCATGAGGGAGGTTTACGGTGGTGGAACTGTTCAGTGTTTCGACAGTGGTGGTAGGGACACGAAAGTACAAACGTGATAAAATCGCACGGAACTAAGTGCAAACATGCACACTCGCTCACCCACACCGAGTAGGAGTGAAACTGAGGAAGTCTGAACAAGATGGTGGATAATTACTAACGTCAATGTCCGTGTTGTGATATCATATTCTAGTGTTGCACGATGTTACCAGTGGAAGAAAATGAGTCAAGGGCACACACTAACTGTATGTGCATTTATGATTGTCTCAAAATAAAAAGTTTAATTTAAAAAATTGAGGCAGTTTTCAGAGCCAGAATGGTCAGAATTCATCTCATCAGGGTTCTGGGGAGTTGATGCTACCAATGTCTGCCAGAATTGGGGAGCTGATTCTATTCCATTGTTCTGCTATTTGGGCCAGTTGTTCGTGTGCTCACATAGCAGGAGGAGGGCTGGGAGTGTGCGCAGGGCACCCCACGGCTAGAAGGGACACAGTGGGGAGATGTCCATGGTCTTTCCTCCTTATTAAGGTTTGATAGTGTCTCTTTGGACCATGGAACTTAGAAAACAAGCACAGTGCCTTCCTTCAGAGCAAGAGCAGAGAACAGATGTCGGTCAGGTGCAAAGCACTGTCATGTCTGGTCCTGGGGCTGGGGCTGGATGCAGCCTCCGGTCCTGCAGCCTTGGCTGTGGTTGAATCTGGAACTCCGCGGAGCTGGGCAGGACACGGCCACCTGTACGTGCCGTTGGCAGGCGTGCCAGAGACAGGCCTGAGGAACCGGGTTGCTGGCAGGCTGCTTCTCCGGAGTCAGTAGCCCAGAGCTAAGGCTTGTTATTCAGCCCCATGGCAGGGGACACATTGTGACTGGGAGTCTGACTCCTGGTGATCCGGCTGTGTTGGGAAATGCTTTCTTTCTTTAGAGTGTGTGCTAGAAATGTGAAGTCAGGCAACTTTGGTGCATGATAGGTCTCTTTTCTTTGAAGTCGTGGGACCATCATCCCATCTGGACAGCAACATTGAGGATCAAGAGATTGTCACTAATCCACCAGATATTTGCCAAGTTGTAGAGGTGACCACTGAGAGTGATGAGCAGCCGGTCAGCATGAGCGAGCTCTACCCTCTGCAGATTTCCCCCGTGTCTTCCTACGCAGGTAAGTGGGGTGAAGGGAAGCTGGGAGACTGGGCAGGGAACGGGAGGGCAGTGCTTCGGTCCAGGGTCACCCATTTCACCCCACAACAGACAACCTCTCCTCTGTCCTAGGGATTATTCCTGATGGAAGTATTCTTGTTTTAATTTTCTTGACCAACGTCTTCTAGGACACTTTTGTTTCAGTTAGAAGATGTGGTCGGTCACAAGCATCTCTTTACTCAATCGCCCCTAACATTTCCATGCATAGCTAACAAATTATAAGATTTCTTTGAGGAAGTGGTTCATCAGAATCTAGTTTATTCGCACAAGTCATCAGAAATTGGGCAGGGTGTTTGAATGGAATCTCAGTGTGACCAGGCTGGATAAGACCTTAGCAATAATCTCTTCCAGGTCCTTCATTTTTGGAAGGGAAGAGACTTGCTCAAGGTCATACAGCCAGTAAGTGTCTGGGCCAGGACTTAAGACTCAACCTTCAGACCCCAAGCTCATTGCTAGAGCCATCCTTCCCACTAAGTTTACTTGTCCCCTCTGCATATTTCCTCCTTCTTTGTCTATTTGGTACAGCATCTCTTTGGGCCAGGGGACTGCCCATTTCTAATTCCCCAGGGAACTGGCTACATAATTACAGGAATTGGCCCAGACAGAGTTACAGGAGGAAAACCAGATTCCATCAGTTCTTCTGTCCTGACAGAGGAAAACGATGGCTCCTTTCTTCATCGACATTACACCGTCTTACACTGTCTTCCTGATCCTCTCCATTTAATATTTTTGGAACTCAGTCATAATTAGGAAGTATAAATTCTGAGTCAGTGTTATTGTTTGCAGATATTAAAAATAAGAAGCAGAGGCGCTATCTTAGGAAACTACAGTTAGCGCAAGTGCTTCAGGGATTCTTCCCAGTGTTCTTTATACGCTGCCAAACGCGGTGTCCTCCAGCCAGGGTGCCACCTCGGTGACTGGCACAGAACCAGCATTAGAATGAGAGTTGATTCAAATGACTGGTTGTTTGTATCAGCCACAAAAAGTAACTTCATATTCCCTGAATGCCAACTTTCTTTTTTTTTTTCTAATTTTTAAAAATTGTGGTAAGATACATATAACATAAAATGTACCATTTTAGCCATTTTTAAGTGTACATTAAGTGCAGTGGCATTAAGTGCATTCACGCTGTGCAGCCATCACCAGCATCGATCTCTGGAGCTTTTTTCATCTTGTAAAACGAAACTCTATACCTATTAAATGCTAACTTTCCATTTTTTTCCACCACCCAGCCCCTGGCAACCTCCTGTCTGCTTTCTGTCTCTATGAGTTTGGCTGTTCTAGCTGCCTCAGATGAGCAGAATCATACAGTCCTTGTCCTTTTGTAACTGGCTTATTTCACTTTGGGTAGGTCCTAACTTGCTTTCATGCTAGAAACATAAAAGAAATGTGAGAACAAATCTTGGCTGCAAGAAGCTTATAATCTGTCAAACAGGATAAGCTTGTCTTCAGTTACTTAGTCGTCAAACAGACTTTGAACTCATTAATAGGTGCCAGTCACTTTTTGGCCTTTGCCGGTCCCCAGTAACAGGAACTACTACTTGTCTGCGTGTTTATTGTGCCCTGGGAACGGTGCTGAGTGCTTGGTGCAGTTGCCTTGTTTATCGTGAGAGTAACTCTGTCGGCCTGGGCACCATCACTGTCCCCTCTTTGAATATGAAGACTCTGAAGCAGATGTGGGTAAGGCACAGTGTCCAGGGACAAACAACTGGCAGCACAGCTGAAACCTACCTGCGCTGATGCCGCCCTGGCCAGCTGTGCAAGACTCTGCCATTCAGAGCACATCCACACCCCTGATCTCATTTGAGACCCACCAGGGACCCACCAATGGCGACACAGCACAGTGTTCATGCCTTAATTTTACAGTAGAGATAACTGCAATGTGAAACACTCATCCGCTTAGCTTGTATTTACATAGCTATGGCTAAAAATCCATGACCTGTATATCATGCTGCTGCAAGCATTATTACACTCCATGTGGTTTTCTTTTTCTTTTCTTTTCTTTTTTTTTTTTTTTTTTAGGGGGTGGGAGCTTTAGAATAGACTGTTATGTTTATCTGTTGAGTAAGACTTCTCTGAAGGCTTCTTGGGCATTCCGGAAAGACTTCTTCATGCTGTTCTGCCAGCAGTGACATTTGCTTTAGCAAAAGAATCCTGAGAACAGCTGATCCATGCAGAGAGAAATGAAAATTTCATTACCCTCTTCAGGACATTTGCATAGATTTGAAAAGAAGGATTTCAGTGCCAGGATGCAGGCAGCGGGAGGTTTTGGGTCGGAGCCCTGCCTTTCCAGCCTGGTCCTTGGTTCTTCTCGTTGTTTCCAATGCCAAAATTCTGCAGAACGTTTTGGAGCCAGGCTCTTTAGATGGAACCAAAATGTTCCATCACTGCTACTTTTCTAGAGCTTACAGACATGGAAGGAATTTATCTATTACTGTCTGTGGCTAATTCCAGTCTTTCATTCAGAAATTTTATAACATTCTACTGGGAAAGGCGGCCTTCTGGCTGCATTCACCTTTCTAACTTTATATTTCCCAATCGCGTATGCTGTTTGCCTGTTATGGCAGAGTTCTTTTGCTCCAGCTATGCAACTGGATTTCAACCTCCTCTAACCACCTTCATTCACCTGCTTAGGAAACTGGTATTCGGAGGCTGCTGTTGGCTGTTTTTCTCCCCTACTGATCACTGAAATAAAATCCCAGTAGTGGCCGAGCGCGGGGGCTCACACCTGTAATCCTAGCTCTCTGGGAGGCCGAGGCGGGCGGATTGTTTGAGCTCAGGAGTTCGAAACCAGCCTGAGCAAGAGTGAGACCCCGTCTCTACTGAAAATAGAAAGAAATTAATTGGACAACTAAAAATATATAGAAAAAAATTAGCCAGGCATGGTGGCCCATGCCTGTAGTCCCAGCTACTTGGGAAGCTGAGGCAGGAGGATCGCTTGAGCCCAGGAGTTTGAGGTTGCTGTGAGCTAGGACGCCACGGCACTCTAGCCCGGGCAATACAGTGAGACTCTGTCTCAAAAAAAAAATAAATTAAAAAAAAAAAAAATCCCAGTAGTATTATAAAACCACATTCAGTTTTGCAAGTCTATCTTCTCTCTGGCCTAAACATTATGGTGAGAAAGAGACAAGACAGTTTTTTTGTGCGGAAGTACTTGCATTGGATGTTTTAAGACAACATAAAATTCTAGTTTGATTTGTAAAACTTTCATCCTGGGGAGGGAGGGATGTTCCCAAGCCCAAGCTTGGGAAGCTCTAGAGGATTTGAAAGGGCTACCCAGAAGTGGCCTCTTCATTGATGTGTGGCACCAGGATTTTATTAGGTGGCTGATGATTTACTAAAAGAAAGCCACAGTAGTATTTTGGGGGAGGATGGGGGAGATGGGGTGGAGAAGAGACTTGAGAAGAAAGCTTAGTGCGAAGGATTAAGTGGTTATCACCGAGAGAGTGGAGATTGCCTACTGACCAGCAGTCATCATCAACCCATACTTTGGGTTTTTATGGAAACCACATCAGCCTTGCATTTTATTGGGTGGAGCAAAGATACACAGGCTTTGAGATTAAGAGGACTCTAACATGAATGATTTGGCTGAGCCTTCTAGTGGAAGTCATCGAGGGTATGATCGATAGGAAGAAATCCTTGTCAATCATATTAATAAAACTTGTTGAACAAGAGCCTTCCAGAAAACGTACCAGAATGTCATAGTGCAAAAAAGCTTTCACATGAAATATGTCATCTCCTTCCCCATAATGTTCCTGAGATGGTTCAACAGGATGTGTTCTCAGGGAGGCATTAAAAACTCGTCTGAAGTGGAGTGTGAACCTACGGCTAGCGTCATCCCAGAACTGCAGTTCTGGAAGAACCTGTGAGGTCACCTAATCCAAACGGTCCTCTTCCCTCTCACCCCAGATGCTTTCAGGAAAACTGAGGCCAGAAAGGCTAAATGAACCACTCACGTACCTGTTATTACTGTGCCAACATTTCCGGCTTATGCAGACCATGCTAGCGAAGCAACTCCGGACTTTTTTATTCCATTGTATTTGAAGTAAAAAAAAAAAACCTAAACTTATCAAAAGGGAAAATGTTGATAGCTCGGCAGTGACATTGATCTGGAAGCAGCAGTCACAGTGAACTCATGTGTCATGTAAGAAGTCACTGGAAGTGGCAGCGATGTAGTAAAACTAAGAGAACAGAGGAAGTCGGGCATGAGCACGCTCCACAGAGCACCATGAACCACCTGCTCAGGGGGCGCCGTGGGAACTGCTGTTATTCCAGAGAGGAGGGTTTGGGTCTTCAGATGGGAGGTTTGGGTATCGCCTGCTCCTAGGCTGACGGCACTCAAGGCCATTTTTTTAAACAAAAAACTTAGAAACCTCGGTTTGCTGATATGGAGAGTCTTCCTACCTACTTCAGAAACTGTGGATCTTAATTTGGAAACGAGGCTCTTCAACTGGCATTTGTGTCGGCCGAAAACATAAGCTCAGAACATGTGTCTCTTTTCTTATCTGCAACTGTTTCTCTGAAGTTGAAAACTGAGTACTTAAAGGAAATTAACATTCTGATCACGTTCCTGCGCTGTGTAAGGTCTTAGTGCAGAGTCCGAACCTGGGATCTGACTTCCACCGCCTCCAGCAACTCCGACTCGGCCTGGGTTGGAATCCCAGCCCCCAGTCGTGTTTGGTGGCGTGTGCTTGTTTTTATTTGGTGGGGAAAGGAGCAGAAGACGATGGCATTTAGGGAGAATAATTAGGGGTGAAGGGAGCCCAAACGTGTATGGAAGGAAGAGAAACCTTGGCTTCAAAGAAAGCTGAGCATAAAAATGGAAAGCGGATCTTGAGATTTCGTCAGAGGCCAGAACAGCAGGGAAGCCGAGCTGCTGCGTTCGGCGCACAAGCCCTGGAATCAGAAGCGCAGTTTTGTTTTCTCTCCTCTGCGCTGACTCAGTCGGCAACTTTGGCAAGTTTCTCAACATCTCTGTTCCTCATTTTTCTTCCTGGGAGTGGCAGTCCTGATTCCTGCCTCCTAGGGATACTGAGCTCGCGTGAGGGTTGTGTGAGCCGGGGAGTTTTCCTTTTCTGTTGCTTTTTGTTTGTTTCTGCATGGAAACCTTTCTTGTGCCTGGTGTGGCCAGTTTGTCTTCATAGCTCAGCTCGTCATCAGCTGAGGCTGAGGCCGACTCTGGGCGTCTGGTGCTCCCAGCTGGGCCTGCTTTGGGGAAACATGCCCACTCTTGAGTCGTGGACAGGCCCGTCCTCTAGCTGCTCAGGGGCAGCCCTCGGCGATCACCCAGGCCTGTGTGAAGTCACTGGAGAGCAGTGGCCGGGAACATGCCAGAGGGCTCCAGGGTGGGACAGCGGAGTCAACATCCTTGCTTTCTTTGTTAAGGAATGAAGCTGTGGCACATCTGCTCATTTGTTCTTTAGCCTTGAATTTATCGAAATCCTGGTCTATGGCTGGTGCTTTGGGTGGTAGATAGGGCTCTATCTGGGCTGGCTGGAGCCGTCTTGTTCCAGCTCTGCTACCAGGGAGATGAGACTGGTGGCCAGTCCCTTAGCAGTGACAGGGTGAAGGGTAGAAGGCACCAGAGCATAATAGCTCCTCTGCATAATGGGGGGATGACAGCAGCTCCTTCCTGACTTAGGATCCGTGTGAGGGCTAAGCCAGACCTGCATGCAGAGGCTCTAGCACTACACCGGCATTACCTCTCTCCAGATGTTCCCTGATAGTTATAAAGAGAAGCCGTACATGTCTCCTTAGCCTTGTCTGTAAAACGAATGACCCAGGCTAGGTGATCTCTAAACGTCTGTGCATTTCAGAAGCTCCCCCCTCTGTGATTTCATTTTTCAATGGCTGTGAACACTGAAAAACTGTACACCATTGATTTTTTATTTTAAAAAATTGTAATTTTTTTTACATTAAAAATCTTTTAAAAATATGTATAGGTAATGTATAACTGCTAGCTATTGACTTTGACTATTAATCCAGCCTGTCGTGCACATCGAGTGTTGAAGGACGCTGATTTGCTGATGCGTGCTGCGTGCCGGCCCTGCGCTAGGCCTTTTCCCACACACCTTCTCACTTGCTCCTCACACGATCGTCTTGGGAAGGTGGTAATACTCTCATTTTACAGATGAGAGAACTGTATCTCAGTGAAGTTGAGACACTAGCTCTGTGTCTCACAGCTGGCGGGCCAAATCAGGATGGGAACCAATTAGTTATCTACCTATTGCTGTGTAACCACGTAAACACAAACTTAGTGGCTTGAAACAACACACGTTTGTGATCTCACAGTTGCTGTGGGTTAGGAGTCTAGGCCTGGCTTAGCTGGGTCCTCTGCTGCAGCATCTCACAAACCTGCAGGGAAGGTGTTTTCTAGGGCTGCTGTCTCATCTGAGGCTCAACTGGGGAAGGATCCATTTCAAAGCTATCATGGTTTTGAGCAGAACTTAGTTCCCTGCAGGTTGTCAAACCAAGGGCCTCGGTTTCTTGCTGGCTGTTGGCTGGCAGCAGCCGTTAGTTCTCTGTCACGTGAGCCTTCCCCACACGGCCCCTTCCTTCTGCAAGGCCAATGAGGGAGTGCACAAGACAAGTGCCAGTGTCACGGCATGTCACTGTGGACACGTGACCGCAGACTCCCCATCACCTCAGCAGTATTCTGTGGGTTAGAAGCAGTCACCGATCCCACCCACACTCAAGAGAGGGAAGCCCAGAGTGAACCCAGGAGGGCAGGGACATGGGACAGTCCTGGATCTTGCATCCACCATCACCCACATGGAAGATGCAGCTCTAGAAACCCACAATATCAGTACTGACGGTGTGAAGTACAGGAGGGATCTGAGTAGAATGGGGATGATCTAGGAAAACTTAGAAAATGTCGACTCTGCACGGGGCCTTAGGTGAGACGATTGTCGTGGACTGGAGGTGAGGACCCCTGTGGGCACTGCAGTCAGAGCTGCAGGGGGGACAGGCCCCTCCTGGGAGGTAGTGCCCATGTAGTCATAGCCCGGCCTTGCAGAGTGGGCCTCCTCTCAACTCTCAAACCTGCTTTCTCTGGAGGGCCGAGATTAGAGAGGCAGCATTCACTCTGGCTTCTCCCACCTACACAGGGAGATGCTGAGTTTAGATACCATTTCTCTTTTTGTAAACACTGCCCGAACCTCGGGACAGCTGGAGTGGCAGGAATGATGGCCCTGTGTTTTTCTCTCTGTGAACAGAAAGCGAAACGACCGACAGCGTGCCCAGCGACGAAGAGAACGCCGAGGTAAGCTGGCCGCCGCCCCTCGCCTGTGACGCGCTGTGGACGAGCCCCGGGGCGTCCTCGCTGCTGGTTATGTGCCTTTACTTTAGATCATGAGTTTCACTTTTGGGTTTTTTTGTGTTGTCAAATATACATAACCTAAAATTTACCATACTTTGGGTTTAGGTTAGAAAATTCAGCGTTGGGAACTGACTGGGAGGAAAGAGAGTTAAACGTCACCAGCAGGAAGAGAGGCCGTGACGGCAGGAAGAGGGAATTGAAGTCGAGGCCAGGAAACGTTGATGTTCTTATCGCTATAAACATCCTCGTTTACAAGCAGAAATAGCACATCCTGTGTGGCCAAAAGCAGGGACCAGAAGGATATGTCAGAAAGAGCTAAGCAAAAGTCTCTCCACGTGTCCGAGGACTCCCTTCCCTACGTGTGTGGGCCCGGAGGCTGGCTGCGTGTCCAGCCTTGATCCCGGGGGGCCTGTTCCCCGTTCCCTCCGTGGGCTGGGCTCACACCGCGGCAGGATGTGGCTGTCACGCTGACGGAGAGTGTTCCTGCCGACCGCCCGCTCTGGGTCTGTGCTTGCGTGAACGAGAAAGAGAGGGAGAGAGACAGAGAGGGAGGGAGAGAGGCTCATAGTTGTTTGAATTAGTGGTTTCTTCATGTACTACACACTGTCGAGTAAAGTGCAGGAATAGACATTAGGTGTACGTGCTCACATGGATCCCGACCCTGTTTCTTCAAGGTCACAATTCGAGCTCCTTCTCTGAACGAAGCCAGCCCTGAGGCCAGCTGCTCGCTGGGCACCCTGGAGCTCTAAGCTGTCCCCCTTTGAAAGTAGTCAAGGGGCACTCACTGTCTGTTCCTAAGTTCCTCACTTCCCTTTCTCTGAAAGCGCAAGTTCACGCAAAGATCCAGTTGGGCCAGCAGTGAGGACCAAGCCTCCGTGACAGACGGGCCACCATGGCCTGGAACCTACCCAGTGATTGTGCTGGGGCAGCCGGAGCCCGGGGGACCAGAAACCAAGCTGCTGCCTTCACAGAGTAGTCTGGGCCACATTTCTGGGAGGTAGCAAATGGGAATTGATTTAAAAAGAAAAAAAAAAGGGAAGGGAAACAGTTGCTTAGGGTATGACTTGCTGGTGTAGCTTCCAGCGGAGGGTTGCAGAGTTGCTAAGCTTTTATTCCTTCCCCAATTCTTGAAAAATTCAGAGAAAACACCAACACATGAGCACCGTGGTACATTTTTAAAAAGCCATTTCATAGAAGGAAAAGGAAATCTATGTCTTACTTATTTTCTTTGAAAGGGGCGGCCACACTGGTGGAAGAGGAACATCGAAGGCAAACAGTACCTCAGCAACACGGGCACACGGAGCACATACCTGCTGCCCAGCATGGCGACCTTCGTCACTTCCAACAAGCCTGACCTGCAGGTCACCATCAAAGAGGAGAGCTGTCCGCTGCCTTACAACAGCTCCTGGCCCCCCTTCGCGGACCTCCCCCTCTCTCCGTCCGTGACCCCAGCGCCCAGCAGCAGTCGGCCGGACCGCGAGACCCGGGCCAGCGTCATCAAGAAGACGTCAGACATCACCCAGGCCCGCGTCAAGAGCTGTTAAGCCTTTGACTCTCCCTGGTGGTTGTTGGGATTTCTTGGCTATGTTTTGTGATTTGTTTGTATTTTATTTTTTTTCTCTCTGACACCTACTTTAGACAAATCTAAGGGAAAAAGCCTTGATAATAGAACATTGATTTGCTGTGTCCAACTCCAGTACTGGAGCTTCTTTTTAACTCAGGACTCCAGCCCATTGGTAGACACGTATTTCTAGAGCCTGCTGGATCTCCCAGGGCTACTCCCTCAAGTTCAAGGACCAACAGCCACACGGGCAGTGGAGGTGCCGCATTGCCTACGGTCAAGGCCAGCATGGTGGAGTGGATGCCTCAGAACGGACGAGAAAATGTGAACTAGCTGGAATTTTTTATTCTTGTGAATATGTACATAGGGCAGTCCTAGCGACGCTGCAGTCTGCTTCTGCACCTTATCTTAAAGCACTTACAGATAGGCCTTCTCTCGCCCTTGCTCTGTCCCACAGCACAGCCCGCCTCCCCTCTGCTGTTCCCCGCCTCCCACCCCGTCCCGTCCACTTCCTTCCCTCCTTTTCCTCCCCTCGGAGGCTCTGTTCTGCATCCGGAGGAGAAGAAGAAAATGAACTTCTCCACAGATGTCCCATTTTAAGACTGCTTAAAAAAAAATATTTCTAATCTGCCATGCTTGAATGCCACGCGGTACAAAGGAAAACGATCATGGAAATATTATGCAAATTCCCAGATTGGAAGACAAAAATACTCTAATTCTAACCAGAGCAAGCTTTTTTATTTTTTATACAGGGGAATATTTTATTCAAGGTAAAATTCTAAATAAAATATAATTGTTTTTTATCTTTTCTACAGCAAATTTATAATTTTAAGATTCCTTTTCTTGTTTATCAGCAGTTGTTATTACATCCTTGTGGCACATTTTTTTTTTTTTTAATTTTGTAAAGGTGAAGAAAAGCTTTTATGAGCTCATGTAGCAATCAGATTATCCTGTGGATTGATAATAAATGAATATGGTATATAGTTAAATTTTTAATGGGCATCACTCCTGGCTTTGTCTGTGTCTGCTTTGAGAGAGCACAATCGTGGGGTAGGACTGACAGAGTATCATCACTTCTTAGGGCCCCAGACTTTCTCCCTTGCTGACCACAAGAAACCCCGGAGGTTCCTACTGCGGGGCTGCGCGTGACATCCTCCCTCGAGCATTCACCCTGCGCCAGGCCTGGTGCAGAGGGTTTTGCACGTGTTCATTACCTTCTACACTCATCACCGCTGTGCTACAGAATGGGGCTTTGTCTCCATGTCGCGTGGAGGAAATGAAGACTTAAAAGGAAGGTGCCTTCACTCAGGTCACAGGGGTGACAAGGTCCAGGAACAAGTGAAGCCCAAGTCTGGTGTGACTGTGGGTTTTTTTTGTTTTTGTCTTTGTTTTTTAGCACATCCATCCTTTTAAACATTTATCATTTCTTTGTGTTGGGAACATTCATTATCAAGAAGGGGGTCTTTTTAGGCACTCCACTGTTTCCCTTCTCTGCTGTGAGAAAATTCCACCCCCTCTGTGTTTTGCTGTTCTTGTCCACAGGCTTATACACAGGACTAGAGTTTTGTGTTTGTGTCACTCACAGGGCACATGGCTAAGACGTTGTAAGTAACAGTAGATGTTTATTGGGTGCTGACTCCATGTCAGTCACTTTTTTTCCTGGGACTCGGGGCCTTTGACACAGGCACTTTCTTGAAAACTTAGAGTACGTCTTCTGGAGCGAGAAATGTGACGTCAAGGGTGCCAATCTCCATTACCTGTTTGTTGTTTCAAGGCATAAGCCTGACCTTGACAAGGCCACTGCGCTAACCTCTCCTGCGTGATGTCTGTACACTCGGAACACTAAGCTGCCCACCTGTCACCTCTGGGGGTTGTGGAGGAGATTGTCAAGTTAATATTTGAAAAGGTGCCTTCCATGAAAGGACAAAGGGCTGTTTTTATGCCTATCTATCTCCACATGTGGCTGCAGATATAATTAGTGGTCATAAACTGCTCCAGCCCTAAACAGAAATCAGCTGAACCATCTTCCTGGTTTACTGTTGTAGCCACACGCCAATGGCAGACTGCTTCTGTGAGGGGGACTTTTGTTGGTTGTGTTTCTCTCAATCTCTTAGTGAAAAGAAGATCCTAAGGAGGAAGAGATGCTCTGTGCTGTATAGTTAAGACCTACTTTTCTCCCATGTCCTAAATGGATGAGTTCAGTTCTTTGTGACTTAACATCTAAATCCTTTTACTTAGTCATCCTGTTTTAAATAAATTACCAAAGCAGTAACCAAAGGTGGCCTTGAGTCACATGGCCTGGTTATGAGAGTGTTTAAAGTAGCTCGGGTCTCCTCCCTCTTCCTTCTCCCACACACAGACAGGGCGTCCAGCTCAGGTCCTGCCTCCTGCTGCAGCTCACAGGTCCCAATGCCGTTCCCACCCTCTTCCTCTGCTCCTGTCATGGTACCAGACTTAGGGAACCTCCCCAGGTGGAAGAAAATTCAGGATCTGGAAACGCACAATTTAAGTACCAAAGATAATACTCCAGTGCCAATAAAGCCATGAAAAAGATTCATGTTGAAAATATTTCTGGGAAAGGCCATGTTGTTTCTCAGTGATGCTTGCCAATAACCTAGGAAAGTAAGCTAGTTACACAACACCTAGGGCTGAGACGAGATGGGACATCTCTTGGACTCAAGCCTCAGACTTTGTTGTCGCTTAGAGGAAGTAACAGGGACACGTGCTTCTATTGGTTGGCATCTGTATGAGCTGATACGCTTTTATGATGGGCTTGGTTGTGTGTGTGTGTGTTTGTGCGTGCCTAAGTAGCAGGTTCAGTGTGATTGCCTTTGGAACAATAGCCGCCATTCTCTGCAGCCAGTACCTCGGTCACTCCCTTGATAACGAGCTCATTGCACAGCTGTGAACTATGAATCCAGTGACAAGTGCTTCCAGCCAGCGGTGAGGCTGCAAGAACCCAGCACATCCTGCACACCTTGACACAAAGGGCTTCCAGAACACCATTTGCAAGTCTAAATAAATCCCTGCTCAACCATAGCATTTTTTTCCATGTTTTGATGAAGTAACTGCCAAAGGCAGTGTTTAGTCTATTTAAATGTATTTGTAGAGAAGAAGAAATATACATGGATAAGAAACATAAATTCTTTGGACATCAAAACCTTAAAATAATACCCTTTTCTTTTTCCCCAAAGTGTACCTCCACCAGTACACTGTGCGTGTAACTACCGCTGAGACAGACATTCTAGGAATGAGGAAGGTGAGTGATTTGGCTTCAGGAGTCTGAGTTTTCAAACTTGTGCTTTGGGAACTACTTTGCATGTGAATGAAAAAGGTGTTAAGCCCCTAATGGCCTCCTGCCCCCAATTCAGAGAGATGGTGGAACATTAGACATTCCTTTTGCTGAGGCCATTCTTTGGATGTTGGATTCGTTAGGCTTTTAAAGCTCCCTGTTACTGTAGCTTTGGACAAACAGGCCCAGATCAAAGGTGAAAATAAGAACCCCACTATTCTGCCACATTTGTACTGAAGGAAGACAAAAAGCTAGGAAAAGGTTTGCAAACAGGTAGCCAAGGCGGGTCTCTGGCACGTGGGAGTCAGATATCCCATGTCTCGGAACCTGTTTTGGTTTGGAAAGAGAAATGGAGGCAGAAGCTGGTTTTTACCTGGTGGTATTCAGCCACCTCCCTTGTCCTGGAACCCCATCCCATGGCATGCCCAGGGCCAGGGCCCTGGGAGCCACGGGGACAAGAACCTGACTGACTCTCCGGCTACTCCTGCCTACAGTGGATCCCTCCCAAGAGTATCACAGTGGGTGTTTGTCTCCCACGGTACTGTAAGCTTCTTGAGGCTCTGTCTCATTTTCTTTTGCATCCCGACATGTGGGACAAGGTCAGGTATGTATTAGGCAATCACCCCCAGCATCTCCTCCTCCCCTGCCCCCACCGCTCCCAGTGTCAAGGGAACAGGGCCGTGGCCAGCTGCAGACCCGGAGAAGAGAGCCCAGGCTGTGTGAATCTTCAGGTTGGGAGATGCAGGAAGATGGTGGATTCTTGGATGTTCCCTCCTGAGGTTGCCTGGCCTCTGGGCCCCACCCAGCCTACTAGACACTGGTATCATCCCCTGCCTGGACTTGGGCATTGCTGGCCCTGCTGTGAGGACAAATGAGGGTTTCGCAGCGGTTTTCTGTGGCCACACTAACAACAGGTGCAGAGGCGCTTTGTCTCTGCTTCTGAAAATAGTGCCTGGAAGGAAGGAAGTGGTCAGGCCTAATAAACAGTTTTAGCAAAAATGTTAAGTCTGTCCAAGAACCTGGATCATGCTGTAGAAGGATCAAGACAGGACATTTCGGAGATCACATAGTCTGAAAAGAGTGTGTTCTGGAGTCCTCTGACCAAGTTTCTTCCTGAGAAAAGCAATGTGCATACTTCTGTTGCTCTGAGCAAGCTGCCCTTTGGAGGTTTGGTCAGTTTCTCCGTATCTGCTTTATAAACATGTTCAGACAGAGATTACTGGCTCTGTGGAATGCATTGTGCTGGGATGGTGCAACTGCCGCTCGCTTAACCCCTTAGTTCACGGCTGGAGAGACGCCGCTGTCACATGCAACAGCCTGTGCAGCGAAAACAGTTGATTTTAGAAACACAACTGTTTTTGCAGGTGCAAAAAAATGTGCAGGGCAATAGCATCTCTAAGTTTCAGTTTGGGTTGAGAAGAACGTTTTACAGTCTGAACACCCAGACATCCATCCACATGAATCATCGGGGAAAGAGGATACCCAAGATGTTCCATCTGCTGGAAACAAGGGTCGCGTATCTGGGATGCTTTTGTACTCCAAATGCTCTCCAACGCACCAGTTCGAAGGCACTGATATTTTGGATTCACAAGTTAAGCTGGAACACACTGCCTGAAGTTTCAGGATAATGTTAGCAGCTAGATGGGGGTGTGTTCCTTGTGGTTAATAATGACTAAGCCTTTATTCTTCCCTAGAATTCACCACGTTGATGCATATCCTCTCCAGAGTTCACTCTTCTGTCTCCCAACGTGACTTCTCTAAAGCTGTGAATCTAGAGCTCATCTTTACTGCTGCGGCATCTTTTCTCTGGGAAACTCGTGTATCATGTTTTTAACGTAACTGTGAAATACGGAAGAGATTTCACAGGCTCAACTCTAAAATATTCAGGGTACAGGCAAGTAGGAATTTTAGTTTTTAAAAAAATGTAAAATATAGCCCAAAGCCATTGATTGAATTTGACCTGGTGGTTTCAAGGGTCCTGTGTCACACGGCTGTGCTATGGGGAGGAAACCACAGGCTGATTCAACAGATTCATGTTTTTAAACTTTGATTTCAAAGTTTTAAAGATTGATTTAAAATAATGTAATTCCTTTTCTTAGCAGCTCATGAATTTAATTAGGGTAACCAGTCATCTTGGTTCGCCCAAAACTGAGGGGGTTCCTGGGATGTGAGAGTTTCAGTGCTAAAACTGGGAAGGCCTTGGGCAAACAGGGAAGAGTTAGTTGCTCTAAATTTAATACCAAGCATAGGAGAAATGACATTTTGTGTTCTCTGAGGATTTTATAAAACCAGGTGAAAGCTTCATGAGGAGACATTATTGAGGGTATATAGTTGATGAATCTATTACTAATGCATTAATTTAATGTAGTGTTTTGTTAAGAAAAGTAGATTTTCTTCATTCAACACTATTTACTGAATTCCTACTATTTGCTGGTACTGTTCTAAATGTTAAAGAGCTGTTACAGAAGAGAATAAAACAAAGTCCTTGTTCTAATGGAGTTTAAATTCTAGTAGGGTGGACACTCCACCAACAAATAAAAATAATCTTTGGGTGACGATAAATGCTGTGGAGAAAAAGGAAGCTGGATAAGGGAGATAGAAAGTGATGGAGATATTCAAAGCTTTCATTTCAGAGCTTAAAGGATCGATTGCAGGGTTGGCGGTGGCAGAAACCAGCAGTTAGAGGGAAAG